ATTAAATTAAAATTTATTTAAATTTAAATATTAACTAATTTGTTTTAAGTAAATATTTATATTTCAAAACTTTGCTAGCATGATTTAAGCTTCGGTATTAATAATAAATACCCACAGTGGCGCCATCTTTTAATAGATTATGTAAAAATATCGGGGAAAATAGCACTTTTACTGTGAGATGGCACTAGTATCAACGTAAAGCAAGCTACTGAGGACTTTCATACCCCTGATTTTAGTTTATGGTTCGGTTGTAAACCATTACTACTGATATCGATATTTGAAAACGGTTTTCAATAACGATATGAAAACTAAATATCAGTTATGTAACCGTTGCAGCCAAAATCTGAAAACGCCCACGCTTACTAAACACTAATGATTACTTTGATGTGATATTTGGCACAGGTGTCACTGACAGTCATACCAATGTAGAAAAAAAATTTCGACGAATGTATTTCCGCGCGAAATTTAAATTAAAAAGTCTTACTATTTTTGCCCACAGTATATGTCATATATAGCAAATTACTACCATCTTCAAACATAGCATACAGAAGTTCTGCTGTGTAACAATTTTCTTTGACCTTGCATAACGAAAAATGTAACTTTAATTCATCCCATTGTTGTAAAATGCGACTAACAGCTGGGAATATTGATAGGCATCGTGTAGCGTATCGTACACATTTTAAGAATTTTCAAAGGCTGCGACCAACAATTTATGGTCTCATATATTTGTCGATATTCATCCTGTCGTTTGGGAGATAGAGAAAACCAGTTATAAGTCTCCCTTATTATGTACTCCATATTACGTGGCAAGCTTTTTTCAGAAGCATGACTTACCGCTAGCTGCAACGAATGACAAACACAACGTACAAGTACTAGATTAAGCAATCTCATGTTCTGTTTTCAAAATTTGATGCAAGCCATTATTTACACCAGTCATCACTGAAGCATTGTCAGTACATATACCGAGTAAATTTTTTAATTTTAAATTATTATCGTTCAATTTGTTTATGATTGCTTCAGCAAGCCCTTTTGCATCAGCTTTTGTAATAGCTGTTAATGCCAGACATGTTGACAGAACTTTATTTTGTGAATTACTGAAATACCTTATTGCTATTCCTAAGTATTTCAGGACACTGATGTCAGTTGACACATCTAGAATAAGGCTGTAGCCGTTGAAAGGAAAAGGGGAGATCTCCCGCCGGGCTAGGTGTTCTGCCCGGGGAGCGGCCAACGCTCCGAGTGGTAGTTCGGAGCTATTATATATATATTGCTTTAATTTCGGAACTTTGTTAGCACGATTTAAGCTTCAATGTGTTTCGCTTGTGGCGCGACGACAGCGCCGCCACAAGGCTATATTTTTGGTCGCCGATATCCAGCCTCAGCGATTCTTCGAAGTGTGATCCCAATACTTCATTAATTATTTCAGAACATTTAGTTCTATGTTTATTACACGTCTCACCCAAATGCTCTACTGTCACCACGGAACGGTGTTCGGCAATAAATAGAGCCATGGCTGCTTCTGCTCTACTTGAGGGCTTTATTTTATCAACTGGCAGGAACGGTGGCAAGGGCTTTTGTTTCGTTATTATTTCTGCTTTTGATTTGTGTTTTTTATATCACTGATTTGGGCAAAAAATTCAGCTTGACACCAGTGTCATTCCTGGAACCGGTACCAACCATCCTTTGAAGTCTGGATTGTCTTCCCACTTTATTCTATATTTCTGTAAGTAACTTTTGTTCTTTATAGATATTGCCATTGTTCAACAAACGTAATAAATTACTGACCATCTATTCTACGTAACTTTGGGTTTATGTAACTTACAGCAACTTTAATAAGCAGCCGCTAATCTTGTACAATTAGAAAGCACAATACACTCCATCAACGAATTATACGTGGTAGAGACATGCTGCAGCTATATTAGTAGTATAGTTGTAGCACGAATGGGTCGGCTCGACCGGGGAAGGACCACGCTCTCACAGAATACCAGCGTAAAATAGCAGCTTAATACTGCTGTGTTTCGTATGGTGAGTGTAGAGAACCGGAGACCCTTTTTACTGGAAAAGAGGCATTCCATCTTAGTCCTCACGGGTGACAATGCATGTGCATTTTGATTTGCGAACGAGGATAAATGTAGATGTCTATGGGCCACAGCAACCACTTACCATCAGGTGGACTGTGTGCTCGTTTGTCACCCTAGCCTATAAAAAAAAAAAGAATACTCAAATATACATTACTTTAAGTTTGAGCGAATTAAGCGCAGAGGCCCTTTTCATACGCAATTCGTTCGCAAGGATTCTTTGAACACTGCCATATGAGATCCTTGTGACCTCAGCTATATGCCTGATGGTCACTCTTCGATCTGCCAATACATGTTCGACTCTTTTCACGTTAAGGGAGGGATGTGGATGGGCGTTCATCTTCCGTGAATATTCAGCCCAGCTTAACCTCCTTGGCCCAGCGTGCAACTGTGAAAGAGCAGAGTCCTTCAATGTTTCACCAAGTCGCTGTGTATGTCTTTGGTAGACATTTTTTAAGCAGAGGGAGCTCTCATTTAATTTTTCTCCATTTTGATGTTATCTTTTTGATGATTCGTATTCAAATGAATGTACCTCTCGGGAATCGTAGCCTATTTATATGATTTTTATTAATTCTGATCTAGTGTTTTTTTTTTTTATAGGATCGGGTGACAAACGAGCACACAGTCCTCGTGATGGTAAGTGGTTACTGTGACCCATAGACATCTACATCTATCCTCAATAAAGACTCAAGATGTAGATGCGTTGTCACCCGTGAGGACTAAGATGGAATGCCTCTTTGCCAGTAAAAACGGTCTCCGGTTCTCTACGCTCACCATACGAAACACAGCAGCGTTAAGCTGCTATTTTACGCTGGTTTTCTGTGAGAGCGTGGTCCTTCCCCGTTCGAGCCGACCCATTCGTGCTACAACCATAATATAGCTACAGCATGGCTCTACCACGTAGTGGGTACATAAGCAAGCAAAAAAATTTTTTTCGGATTTTTATGTGCACTAGAAATAACCTATTATCATTATATTTGGATCACCCCTCGTATTGAGGAATACGATTTTTCATTAAGGTTCCGGTTCCATTTATATTTCTCTCCACTGTTTTCCAATACAGGAATAAATGTGGAATAGCGGTTTTTTTTTTAACTTTGATGCAAGTCTTTTCATTGTTGCTCGGCGTCTAGCTTCGATTGTTAAGTTTTTTACATTATTGCCTGCCAGTATCTGGAGACCTTCCGTACAGGCCCTGACGTTTGGCGCGTAAAAAATAAAATGGCCTAGCGCTTGACGGGTTAGCAAAAATCAATATTTAAGGTTAACTGAGAGGTGTAGCCTAATAAGTCTTCCACTTTATTATATTATTATAGATTACAAAGTTATAATGCAGTTGTTGTGTTATGTTCATGTTATTTTTATGTTTATGTCATATTCTCTTAGTCCTTAGGTGTCGTTCCAAGCTTATGGAAGACAGCCTTAGTGCATTCGATTCCTAAAAATTGCTGGGACCTATCCAAATACAGGCCTATCGCCGTCACCTGCTTCTTATCCAAAATAATGGAATCCAGTATTAACTGCCAGCTCACGCGGTACCTTGAAGAGCATAAGCTGATTTGTGACCTTCAATACGGTTTCCGTCGAAGCTGTTAGGATCAATAGGACGGAAACTGCGTGTATGTTATGTATGTATACATACATACATACATAATACATAACTGTGACCACTGTGAAATTTTACGACAAACTCCTAGCCCCTGAGCTACCGGACCTAGTTTTGAATCTGTATGGCCTGCAAATAATTCCTCTATCTTAATCTTCCGGTAAACTTCCACAGCTGAACATGGAAGGATCTCTCCCGATGTAGGGAGGATTTGCCTTGAGCGTCACGCTTGGCATAGGACTGACGATCGCAGAACCAGACGTGAGCACCACTGGCAATGTCGCCTGGCGCCGGTCTGGATATTTACATTGGTAGTAATTGAGGTGGTTATACCGGCATCTGGCGGAAGCCATCAGAAAGAAAAATAATTTTTCTGGCAAACCCATAGTCGTCTCTTACGAAACCCGTGGGATAAAATGTGATGATAAATTCTCTTATACCGCACTTACACGCCAACATCGACTGTACTGTGTGTATAACACTAGTTCTGTGTGGAATTCGAAACAGTGATTATTAGATTAATGTAATTGTAACATGGTCAGAAGAATCGTTCTTTCCCTCCAAAAATGAATATGAGAGACATTATTCGTAGTAATTGGCTAAATTTTTTTATATCTAGCAACATTATTTAGTATAATTATGTAAAATATCACAATTTCTCTATTTCTGCCTGGGTGAACTGATATAGAATACTCCGCCCATTGTAAACAGTTTAAGGTGTCTTGCAATAAAGATGCAATAACTTGCAATAAATAAAAAGTTTAACTTCGACAAATAATTTTTCAGAAACTTCTGAGAAGAAGATTAAATCAAATACTAGTGATTGTAACATAAACGATGTTCGTGAAGAAAACATCGATTTTGAAGGCCCTACTATTAAATCAAACCCTAAAATGAAAAAAGAGAATCAATCAATTAATAAAAAAGAGAAGCATCTTGCAAAGATTATGAAAACGAAAATTTTGACACAAACGAGTGTAAATATACTTACGAAACAAACGTCTGGGACATCAACTAAATACATTTTTGAATGTGATGGTTGTAGTAAAAAATTTTCAACAAAAGACATACTCGCCAAACACATTTCACACAGTCATAAGACGCCAAAAAACTCGGACACCACTGCAATTCAGACTCAAGTTGAACATAATGCAGTACCACAACAAACAGAAATATTTAATTGTGATATTTGCGAATTCAAAACATCTAAAAAACGTTCCATTTTGGCACATCTTAAAGCGCACGTCGCTAAAAAAATGTACTGTTGTAATAATTGTGAATATAAATGTATTAGAAAAAGTGATTTGCAAACTCATATGAAAATACACACTGGAGAAAAACCTTTTTCGTGTAATATCTGTGGATATAGATGTATTAGAAAAAGTGACTTGCAAACTCATATGAAAATACATACCGGTGAAAAACCTGTGTCGTGTCATATTTGTGAATATAGATGTATTACAAAAAGTAATTTCCAAAGACATATGAAAATACACACCGGTGAAAAACCTTTTTCGTGTAATATCTGTGAATATAGATGTATTACAAAAAAATCATTTGCAAACCCATATGAAAATACATGCTGGAGAGAAACTTTTTTCGTGTAATATCTGTGAATATGAATGTAGTACAAAAAGTAATATGCAAACACATGTGAAAATACACACTGGTGAAAAACCGTTTTCGTGTAATATCTGTGTATATAGATGTATTATAAAAAGTAATTTCCAAAGACATATGAAAATACACACCGGTGAAAAACCTTTTTCGTGTAATATCTGTGAATATAAATGTATTACAAAAAGTCATTTGCAAACCCATATGAAAATACATACTGGAGAAAAACCGTTTTCGTGTAATATCTGTGAATATGAATGTAGTACAAAAAGTAATATGCAAACACATGTGAAAATACACACTGGTGAAAAACCGTTTTCGTGTAATATCTGTGTATATAGATGTATTACAAAAAGTAATTTCCAAAGACATATGAAAATACACACCGGTGAAAAACCTTTTTCGTGTAATATCTGTGAATATAAATGTATTACAAAAAGTCATTTGCAAACCCATATGAAAATACATACTGGAGAAAAACCGTTTTCGTGTAATATCTGTGAATATAGATGTATTACAAAAAGTAGTTTGCAAAAACATATGAAAATACATACTGGAGAGAAACCTTTTTCGTGTAATATCTGTGTATATAGATGTATTACAAAAAGGCATCTGCAAAGACATTTAAAAACACACATTGGTGCAAAACCTTTTTCGTGAGCTATCTGGTGAAACATGTACAATATTGTGTAAACGTGTTTTATATAAATATGTGTGTACCAGATAAAAATCTATTTTTTGTGAATTTGTGATGTAATTATATAACGAGTAGAAAAACCTTTCCGTGCCTTATGTGCAAATTGAAACTGCATTTATTCTGAAGAAGTTAATTCAATACCTAATTTAAAATTTTGTACAACCAAATTCAATATAAATTATTAAGAATAATTCAAAAACTATTGGTCAGACCTTGATCAAATATATATGGGGCTACATGTGAAGCACCAGCTTTCAAATAAAAAAAAAAAGAATTATCGAAATCGGTTCATGCAGAAAAAGTTATGAGGTAATAAACAACAATAAATAAGAACATACAGTCGAATTGAGTACCTCCTTGTTTTTGAAGTCGATAGAAAGCAAAAAAGGGAACCTTAAAATAAATACCGTATGTGTGAATGGAGGTTAGTGGAAACAGACTAGACCTTCATGTTTTTTGTTTTTAATTTAAATAATAGTTTACGTTTTTCCTTTTCGCTTTGCCGTTTATCGTTACCGTTACAACCTTTAGAACTATTCTGTTGAACATAGGCTTCCCCCGTGGGTTGACGCAACAATATTTGCCATAGTTGCCATGCAGGTGGGTTGGCAACCGCGGTTTTTTATTATTTGCACTTGTAATCAGGGAGACGCGGCTGCCCATCTTGTAGTTTGTTTCCCTCTGTCGCCTCTTACGACACCCACGGCACGATATGGAGTAGTGGATTGTCTTACAACATACCACACAGCACCATAACTATATCACGTTATGATGCCGTGTGGTGGTGTCTGTCCATACGTGGTAAAGCCACGCTGCAGCTATATTGTGGTTGTAGCACGAATGGATAGGTGGGTAGGACCACGCTCTCACAGAATACCAGCATAAAATAGCAGCTTTCGTGAGAAAATTATGTTTCGTATGGTGAGTGTAGAGAACCGGCGACCGCTTCCATTAGTAACAAGACATTCCATCTCAGTCCTCATGGGTGATAACGCATCTGTATTTTATTTCTTAATTGAGGATAAGGATTCTTAATAGATGTTAATGGGCCACAGCATTCACTTACCATCAGGTGGACACACAGTCCACCAGCTCGTATGTCCCCCTTATTCTGTTTAAAAAAAATCAACGAATATCTCAGATCCACACCGGCTTGAAACCATTCAAGTGTGAGGTGTGCGAGAAATTATTTAAAGATCTTCATGAGAAACGGCTCCACTTTACATATGTTCATTTGAAGAAGCCGTAGCCTAAACGCGCGAGAAAGAAGTCGAAGAAGGCACGACAGGTCAGTATTGGTACCTGCGGAGTAGTAAAATTGTAGATTAAAGGTCGCTGTGTGCATACAGGACGGAATCAGCACGTGCATGGGACGGAAACGGAACGCGGTTGTATCTCCACACGGACGGGAGTTTAATGCATACGCAACGTGAGTGACTCGGAAACTAACATGCTAGTGTTGTGAAAGGTGGATTTTTCATTTCGACATCGTCGCCGGCGACATTTTTGTCGTTCCATTCTTTCCACGTCCCCGTGCCGTCCGCGCATCCGTAACGTATGAATTTTCACGTACATTTTCAATGGAACGATATTTACAAAATCTGACGTTCCGCTCCGTACGGAATAAAACACGTTGCGTATGCAGCGACCTTAACATGAGATATGGATGTATTCTTCCATACACACACACACACACATCAAGTATATAATTACGTCGTCCATAATCACTAAGCTTCTTCGGTGAGATAGATCCTTAACAATCGCAGATGTCGTCGGTCGAATTCTCGTAGCCGTTCCCCGAAGTTAAGTCCATGTTCCTGTAAGTGGTATTTTCTATTTGTAACTAGCGAACGCCAGTGGCTTCGTACGTACGGTCTACAATTTTTTTCTATCCCGCGGTAACATGTGTACTTCCACTTCCAGTTGAGTTATTGAACATTATATTCAGAGCGTTTGTAAGATAATGGTGGTATTGCTGCATCTATATGATTAATTTCTAATGATACGACTTATTTTGACTGACTTCATTATGGTCTGTGCTAATAAAACAATGTTTTTTTTTTTTATAATTATACCTAATATAGCGCTGGCTCCTATTACTTGCATGAGTACAATTATCATTACTTTATTAGCAAAATCTATCGTGATAATTTAACACCTCTACAATTTCTTCTATCTATGGCCAGTTATTTCAATATATTATGTCGGAATCCATTGAGTTATATGTACTACGTACTAGAGAAGCCATTCCAAACAAAAATTGTGTCCTACTCTATGTCTTCGCGCATGCGCGGGAGTAGTAGTCGCGCATGCGCGAACACTTTAATTTGATATAAAATAAGATATTAATATAAAATAAATATAAGAATTTAATATAAAATATCTTAATTTAATCTAAATGAACATATTTACTAAACAAAGTGTAATAATAATTATTTTATGGAATTCACAAATCTTCAATTTACGCAATATTTAGTTTGTATGGATTGCACTACAGTTCAGTTGAACATAGTCAATGTTCGGAATGGCTTCTCTAGTACGTAGTACATATAACTCAATGGTCGGAATCAAATTAAAAAGTGTGCGAAGCTGAGCTTTTGTTAATATTTCATTATTGTTTTATTCTCGTAGCGAGTGCACGTTGTTTACAACGTTCGTCAAATATCTATATTGGTGAGTTTAATCATTTTTACTATTTAGAAATTCAGTTGTGATTAAAATTTTTTTATGGAGGTTTGTTTTGTCCCACTAACAGAGGTAATTTAGTGCTAAAGTTACGGGACTTAAGCATGAGTTCCAGCTATGAAGGTTTCTCACTAGTCCAGGTCCCACTTAACCAAGTTTCACTGTTTTTTCAAAGATGTTTAAAATTTTCCTAACATGCTTTGAATATACTTTGAATATTTTGAATGATCTTTTAAAATGGTTTTCACTGATCCTTCCGATATTTCGATGATATCAGTAAGGTCTCTGGCTGTTAATCGTCAGTTCTCGAGCACCAATTCCTTGATTTTATTGACGTGTTCATCATCAGTTGATGTTGATGGCCGTCCTGGACGTGGTTCGTCGTCAACGCGTTCTCGACCCTCTCTGAATAATGTGTACCAATGAAAAACACTTGCTCGCTACTTACAATTATCACCGACAGCCTTTTGCAACATTCTGAACGTTTCGGCACCAGAATTTTGATTCCGCACACAAAATTTAATGGAACTTCTTTGTTGAATAATTTCACTCATTGTAAAAATCGCCGAATGCACTTTTTGTACTTCAGAAAGACAAGCGTATACTAAACACTAGAATGTAGAATGTATCAATTATCATATCATATCGATAAACCTAAGAACATAACCGTTATCACATATCCAACCAAAACCCAAAATCAACTAACCAACGTACGAAACGTAAAACGCAAACTGTAACGATATGCCAAAAACCGAAAACGGCCCAAAACCAAAACTAACCGATGTCCTTTGATATTCGTTGTTTCTCGTTCTAGCGACAGTATCATAAATACGTATGAAAGAGATGAAGCGAATATGGATTTCGTTGCGATGTTTTGGTTGTTATCATAAAACGGTGCACATAGTGAAATATAATTATAATTTTCTTAACAATAAGGTCGAATTTTAAATGGTTAAAATTGCGTAATTTTTTAAGTTTGTGTAGTTGTGAGAGTTGTCAGATTTAAATGATCTTTAGGACTTTAGGCACTAGACTTATATTTGTTTCTTCTCATTATATTTCGTTTAGGCAACTTTTGTTTATGTGAAAGTTAGAACTTGATTTATTTTTTCAAACGTAACAATTACGCACTTGACATTGGTGGCGTGTGCCGTTCACTATGAAACTATCTGTAAAATTATTAATTTTTGACGTTACGTTTGTACATTTATTTGTAATATTTGTTTGCATTTTGTACATTTGTTTTAAAACTTTCCTGTCAGTCCTAAGCCTAGTTAAGTATATGAAGGTAAATCGTCAACTTAAATAATCATTATAAAAAATAATGATTATTAGTATAATAATAATAAATAAACTATGTACCTATAATAAATTACTATATATATATATATATATATATATATATATATATATTATGTTTACTACTTATGAATACAGTTTAATTATAGACTTCGAAATCAAACTCTGATCCTACGTCTCACTTTAAAAAAAATATGGGTATAAACATTATAGACATAAATGAGAATAGAAAGAATGTAATTTTAGAGATTTATAATACTATATTACTGCATAACAATCATAAATTATATGTTAACATACACGTCTAAA